TTTTAATTTTATTTTAATTTTTGATGGTCAGTGAAGTCATCAGTGGAGCAGAATTAAGTAAAGCCTCAGCCTCGACGAGAGTGGCATCATAAACGGCAGCCTCATTGGCAACTGCATCAACGAAATAACAGCGTTAATGATAGAAAATCTGTTGACCATTTATGAGCCAGGCGAGGACCACAAAAAAATTTAAAAGGACAAAAGTTTAAAACTGTTGCGATTTTTTTTTAAATTTAGTAGAGAAAAAAATGTTAATCGCCATTTAATTTTTAATAAAATAAAATTCAACTTAACAGGACATATTTTGTAAGCGCAGGTTGCTGTTGGGCTTAATTAGTAAAATGACTAATGGAGTAAAAATTCACTGAGGGGTTTAATTTGACTATAATAATAAAATAATTATTGCAGATTTATAAATATATAAATTGCTAATAGTAGAATATTGAACATTGAAGAAATTAAAAAACATGAGATTTAAGGGCCTTCTGGTGTTTCTCAGGTAGTGTCCTTAGAGGTACCATTCGATACTCTCCTAGAGATCGTCAAGCGAAGTATTTACCTCTATTCTCTTTAGCTAGCTAATAACAAATGGAGGTCACTTAATTCGTAAGTGCTCTGTATAGAGAGATCAGTTGTTGGAAACTCAAATAAATGAAGGAAGTAATCCAGAGGTCACTCGAGAAGCTACGAAGAAGAATTGTAGATTGCAGAAGTTATAGAAACTTACAATAAAAGACAGATCATTAGAGAAATACTTTCTTGTCAAGTCGTCTAACTGTTTATCGGTAAGTAAAAAATTTTCATTTTTTGAGACTTTTTTATGTATGTTGCAAGAGTTCCAGTTGCATGGCAGGAACTCACTGCGTTATATGCGTGATGAGCTTATACTGCTTTATCTTATAAGACCAGTGCATTACATTCTAAATTTAATGTAATCTACGTCTTCAACTTCAGTTTTTAATTAATTTATATGATTAGATATTTCATTTCCTTGTTTTGTGGTAAGTTGGTTTCTTTAACAAGTGTGATTGTTCATGTTTCTCGAATCAGTCTGTATGTACTATAAGTGGTATATTTTCTGTTAGGGTTGGTTCAAAAATGTTCAACCAATTAATAATTTTATTTACCTTTCTTTGAAATTTTTAAAAAAGAAATTTTGGAAATAAATTCGCTGTCCAATGAACGTAATATAAACATGGGCTTAAAAGTGAATTCTCTGAAAGCTGGAAGATCGTCTATCTTTTGTGACTTCATCTAAATGTCCATATATTTTCAACTGGTCATATTCTTTTACGATCTAGGTATAAAATTTTGTGTTTTAAACAGTACTTACTCCTTCCTAAAACTACAGATGTTTGATTTACTTAAGGAGCTGGATAGTTTTTGGTGTGAGTAATATCGCTGAAGAGTAGGTAAGAGTTTAATCTTCTTCCTAAAACTAACTTTTATAATTAAAGATTATTTTATAAGTGTTATTTTACTTTTCCTTTACTACATGAATATTATGTAGTAATATTTCTTTTATTCATTTATCTTAGGCCAGTTTACATAGTGTCAAGTCATCTTTCTTTGAATCTTTCTCGATTTTTCCTAAATGCTGTTTCTTGTAACGTAACTCCATTTGTAGTCATTTTTAATAGATCTGTTAGTCACTGTATGCGCTGTAATTTGATATCATTTATTTTTTTCATACGTCTTCTTTGCATCAATATTTTTTTGAGAGGCGTAACATACTTACAAAATGGTTTTCTAAATCTGTGAGCTTGAAGTCTTCTATATTTATCCATGCTTTTTCTTTATGTCACTGCTCTATCGAGAGGTATTCTTACTAAATGGTTTAGTTGATCTGTGCCCTGTTATATGACGTCCTTTATTTCTTTTCATGCTACTTCTTGGAAGAAAACTCTTTTAAGAGACATTGTGTTATTTGATACATCTTATGTCAAACAATATTGGGGAACTATTTTGTATAATTTGATATCATCAAATATATAACTATAATCTTCATGGCTAACGTTGTACTCAAAAATTTCAGAAAACTTGATTCCATATTAAAAACGTGTACTTCATTAACTTCACTACCCAAAGAGGGTGATTTAGTTAACGAAATATTCTGCTTTCCTGTTACTCTGTATGAATAATTAAACAAATTCACCTTTGCTTTATATAGAATGTATGTACATGGAATTAAACGAATACGAATGACATACCGGATGTACATGACACCTCCATAGAAGGCAAAAGAGTGCGACATTAGAAGTTTGGTTCTAAGCCCAGCAGGTCAAGTGCGCTTCGTCCGACTTTGTTTGGACTAATTAAATTTGAATAGTGATTTTTCACAAAAGGAAAACAAACTTCGAAAGCAACTTTAAATACTAAATAGTATATATAGTACACCGGCATACACATTGGAGAAGACATTTTGCCTTAAGGAGCAAGTTTGCAGTTATGTCCTGCGGTTGTTTTGATGTAGTTCTCGATTCTAACCGCTGCATAAAAAGTGATTACTGCTCTGCCCTACTGTCCTCTGCTTTAATGAAAGGAAGTTAGGGAGTTGCTTTCAACTTAATTTTTTTTGGGTAAAAATAAGTTTACATTGTAGTAAGTACAGTATGATAAGGTAATACATATACAAAAGTGTGGAGTACTAATATTGTACAGTATGAAGCAAAACAACTCAAATGCAAATATTACACGATCTGCGAGTGGCAACTGTGAAAATGGCGGAAACAGGACGGAAAAGGAAATGCGCTCAATTAAAATTTTAAAGTCAACAAAAATTGAAAAAAATACATTATATAATAGTTAATTGAAAAACTCGTATTTAAAATAATAAAGTAAAAATATTAATATTTAATTAAAAGTAGCTAAAGGGAACAAAAAAAATGAACAAAAAAAAAAAGAATTAAAAATTTAATAAAATGTTTTTTTTTACCGTTAACTATGAATATATTTAATTACTTTTATATATAGTTAGGAATTTTGAAATTAAATCAGAACGAGTTGACTTAAAAAGTAAGGGTACCATAATGAAAGATCATATCGTTCACCAAAAAGTTATAGTAAAAAATAAGTGCTCAGATATATATATATATCTCATATTAAAAATAATTAATAATTTATATATATTTACATAATTATATATTGATTCTTTCATATATGCAATATTATAGTGCTATCATTAATCACAAAACCTTGAAATATATAAGAAGACGTATTGGCTTAGTAACTAACTTTTTGAAGTGTGAGTGACTTTTTCTTATTCTATATTAAACCAGAATTTATAGTTATTCAACATATCTCTTATTCAAACGGTCTTAAGGTTTCTGGATCTCTTCTACGGTGAAAGAAAAAAACATATTAATCATATTATTTAAATATAAATTATTTATAAAACTACATCAGTTGAAAAGTCTCAGGGTTTTCATATATATGTCGTCTTTTAACGACCATGAAAAACTACATGGTTTTTGGAAAGTACTACCTTCAAGCAATTATATTCATAATTTTAATACAATTTGACGTTTAATTTATAAGTTACTACTTTTTAGTAAGCTACTTTTGTTATTTTTGGAACAATGGATTCAAAACAATTTCACGTATTAATTTATCATTGCTTTTTAATGGAAAAAAATACCGTTCAATCCAACGCTAGTTTTTTTAAATATTATTCAAATTATACTCCATCAACAGCAAGCCTTGATCGTTGGTTTACAGAGTTTGAATATGGCTGTACAGCCATTGAAGAGGTCCTACGCCTCGATCGTCCAAATTATGCGTTAAAAACACCCACAAAGTTGTTTTGAAAAATTGTGAGATAAAGTTGAGTGATATAGCTAGTTCTCTTAACATATCAAAGGAACTTATAGGAATTTTTTAAAGTTGCTATCAAAATGGCTGCCGCATCTGCTCATAGTTGATCAAAAGCAAAAACGTGTGGATGATTCAAAGAGCTATTTGAAGCTATTTAATCGGAGAAAAAGAATGTTTTACATTGATTGGTAACTGCAATTCAAACATGTATCTATCACATTATTTTGGAATCAACACGGTAGTCAGCTGAGTGGAGAGCAACCGGAGAAGGCACTCCAAAATAATCATAAGCGCAACAGTCGACTGTTAAAGTTACAGCTTCCCTAGCTTAAAAAGCACGAAATGTAACATTCATCGACTATCATAAAAAGACTTATTGATTGCATTGTATGTCATACTTTACAACTGGCTACTAGAGATCCCTCATATTCAAAAAGTAAACCTGATTGATAAATCCAACTAACACTTTACTTAGTAGGTGATAAGTAATTTTTACCTGTTGAAAGAACCCACATCAAAGTTAACTAGTTAATATTTTAAAAGTTTATTTAAAAAACAAAAATTTGCTTTTTCAACAGAAAAAAAAATTATAGTACATATATATTTTTTCAAATATTATTAAGTAAAGAAAACTATTTGGATCAACCCTTAAAATTAATACAATGCATCGTAGTATATATCATTTAGTTTCAAAATTTAATTCAAACGAATACCAGAAAAATCATTTAGAAAACCTCAAAAAAATAGAAGAAGATCGTATAAAATATATGACGGAAGCGACAGCCAGTCTCACCAATAATACACTACAGTTAACTAGCTTACGTCCAAAATTAACTGAAGACTCTTCAGCATATAACTTAAGTAAAGACACCTTAAAGAGCTTGTCATATGAAGCAGAGAAATGCAAGGTTTCAATGTTTTATGAACAATCTAATACTGAAGGTTATAGTCCAGCTGCTTCTACCATAGAACAGGATTCCGAAGAGAATGATATGACAGAGAATCCTATTGTTTCCAGCAGTTTTATCGAATCTGCGAAAAGAACTGCTAAAAAAGTTGTAAATCGGCTGCGTCGCTTCATTCCTTAGGATTCATCTTCCATTGAGGTGGTTTAGTATGCTGCAGCCAAAGATCAGTTATAGCTGGAAATTATGATATTTGCTGTCGTGTATGGTAGGTGACTATTAACTTTTACGATAAGTGCGATGAAAGAGTTATATTGTGGGACTGATATATATATTTTTGATATTACAATAAAATTTTCGGGAGCTCCTAAAAATTCACAGCATATATGTAGTGTTTCTTTACTTTAAAAAGTGTATAATTATTATTTAATAGTTATTTTCAAAAGAATTCATTAATTATGCTTTATAAGTTTGATTAGAACACGTATTTAAATTTAAGACTTATAGAAGAATGCAAATAAATAGTTAAGGATAATCAGTAGATCCAAACAAATCATGAATAATTTAGATTTTACGGGTATTCTTTATTTTAAAGAGATATTATTATTGTAGCCTCTTGCTAAAAAATGCAGACGTATGGAGACTTGGTTGTATTGGCTTGGCTGAGTCTTGTGGGAACATTCATGTTTTATCATTTCATTTTGTTTTAGAGTAAAATTTTCCCGATGATAAATCGTATTGACTTTAACACCAGGCTCGATGAAAACTAGTGGAGAGCGTTTATCGGTGGTCTCAGTTGCCCTTAATATTAACCGTAGGCATTGGTCGATAACCACGTGTGTAGTTATGGAGCCATGACAGTGACAAAGCTTCAGTTAGCCGATAAGTTATAATAAATAAATGATGGTTTTGGCTTAAAAAATCTGAGGCGGAAAAAAGAAATGATTTTATAATTATTTTTAAATTAAAAAAGTTTTATTTCCATATTGACTACAAATGCCGAATACTTTGTGCCCAGTTTCGTAACAACATTTATTTAAATTTTTTATCTATGGTAAAGAACCATACTTTCATGTACTGTTTAGTATATGCGAAACAATTAAGCAAAGCTTTTAAATATAGTTTATAATAAAACATAAGTTATAAAAATAAATCAATTAACTAAATTGGTTTAAGGAAATTTAATTTTTTAAAATACATTGTTTTTTTTATCCATGAAACATTAAAAGTATAGCAGTTTAATAAAAAAATAAGAGGATATAGTATATTGTTAGGTTTTAAATTATTACGTATTATAACAAGGTATGTTATTTTCATAATCCATAAAAAGTGCAACAAAGTATTTACTTTTTAAACCATATTTTTCTTTATGAAACTCAGCTGTATTTAAAACAACTCAAATTTAAAAGCAAAGCTGTAAAAAGGATAACAAAATTTTCCAAACTATTAAAAGTTTTAAAATATTTTAATTTCTCTCGAAAGCATAAAGCGCAATATAACGCATATTACACCCACATTAAGTTTGAACATGCAATTTTTGACGCCCAGTGCCCAACGCCCACAATGAACCACCAATTAAAAAATCAAATTGCAAGAGAAATCACTGAAAAGCTTGAAAGGATGGGGAGACTTCAACAAAGCGCATCCTTCTTTGAATTTCTTTACACGTTTAAAAAATGGCGAAAGGAAAAAATAAATTCACACAAAAAACGGAAATCAATGTTGGTGCCTTTCCCTGTTGCGATGACTGAGCGCTAAGAAGTGTGGGCTTTTAAAAATATGCATAAAAATTCCTAGAAAAATGTTTACTTAATAAATCATAAGCTGAAGTGCATATTTTAAGCACTTTTACCTCTTCGGGCTGCATTATAAGGGAACACATTTCCAGAAAACCATGTTGAAATATACTTGAAACTTAAAGAAAAGAAATTATTTTTAAATGAGTTGTGCGTGTTTAAGCAAATGAAAAAGTAATTTAGTAAACTTAAATGAAAAACTATTTTTAATAAGAGTAATTATAAAGTAATTCTTTATGTATAACTACACTTAGGGGAATATAACATACATTTTCTTAATACAAGAATATTACGCTACAATTGAATAAATTAATTGCTTACCATAAATAATGCTTATTAATACAAATGCGTATGGAATGCATATACTTCGTCTTCTTCTTTTTTTTATTTATTAGTATTACTGTTTAAACAACTCTTGGCCTTCTCTACAACAGTCCTCAAAGTATCTTGTAACTCTCTCTCAATTAATGATGTTAGCACTTTCTCGAATCAGTTTCCATCTCAATAATTCAGCAGAATCGGTGACGATCTTTTTCTTACATGAAGCACAGTGTATGTGCTTAGTGTTTGTCATTTTATATGATCGAGACGAGACGATTCTTTAAGACTTCATTTAAACTTCTAATCCAGTAACTTGCAATAAAAGCAGATCCGATTTGTTTCGTCGAGCATATATGAACGATTTCACTCTGTTTTCAAACTTCACATTCATTTTGTTGTTGTAACTCGCTGGTACTTGCTAGTGAAGTCGTTATGGGAGGTGTCGAACGTCACTTGGTCATCGCTAGCGACGAGTGGATCCGGGATGCATCCATAGTATTTGTCAGATGACTAACTTTAAAAGTAATTTAACATAAAAATTTAGCTTTTATGTTAGCAATACTGTTTGTACCCATAACATGATTGAAAATAGATAGTTAATTCATATTCAGCATTGTTTATATATATATACCTATATAGGGTGTTTTTTAAGTTCCATGAGAATATCAATACCATAGTTTTGTTTGGCAGCTTAGAATGGCAAACAGTGTTGACATTCTTGATTACTAAGGATTGACAATTCATCATGAATCGTTTAATGCTAGAATAACGCTTCCAAATTGTGGAAATTTACTTCGAAAAGAATATATTTGTTCGCGAAGTTCTTAGAGCACTTTATTGAAGAATTGTGTTTAGTGATGAAGTTCATTTCTGTTTAAATGAGTATGTTAATAAGCAAAATTGCCATATATGGAGCGAAGATAATCCTCAAGCCATTAACTATTCACCATTACATCCATTAAAATTGATTGTTTGGTGTGGTTTTCATCATCGGTCCATATTTCTTTCGAAATGAGGAAGGAGCTGCCGTTACGATGAATGGCGAGATCTGTCGAACCATGTTGACTGAATTTTTGTTTCCAAAACTAAATCAATTAAACATTGCCAAATCAGATATTTGGTTCCAACAAGACGACGCAACTTGCTATAAAAAATCAATATAGATATATTTTGCCACTAACCCACAAATTTAAAATTCATTGTGCGTAATGACATAAACCGCTTTTCTTCATCGATGTCTACTCAAAACGAAAATGTTCTCAAATTATCAGTGACGAAAAAATCTTCCAGTACAGAAATACTAGAGTAAATATATTTTTAAAATAAAATTCTATTCAGTTTCACATTTTC